CATTTCTGCTGATGGATCCTCTTAAATGTTACACACTGGACCTTTAATGTCTTATTATCAACCACTGATATTGCCATTAATTGCAGTTCATACGCCCATTATAAATGGTGACTTATCAAAAAGTGATAAACATTTTTATCTACGAATCAAGTCTCTTGTTTTTCTCTTCTACAGAGAATCATGTAGTAAAGGATCCATTGTGGACCTGCTCCAAATCCTCCAGTCCAGAGGTTTCCGCTGGACCTGCACAGATAACGACCAGTAAGTGACTTCCAACAACTCTTCCAAAACTGAACGGCAAAATACGATGTTTGTCCGTGTCTCTCTAGAATGGCGCGTAGAAGCATTTCCTGACCTGACACAGACAGACAGATGACATGTGAGACTTGTTGCTGATAATGTTTTATGACTTAATGATGAACTTCCTGATGAATCCTGGACTAACAGATATCATATTTTTCCACAGGACTCTGATGATCCTTCAGTGTATCCAGAACCCCAAACAGTCCTCCTGCCAAACATGTGCAAACAGCCTGTTACACAGAAGGAGCCTCACGTTTAACTGAATCGCCCACTGTTGTGGTTTATTTTCTTTGCCTCACTACACCTTGAGTAATATCTAACTGACTTAAAACTTTTGGCTATCTGACTGTAGTGACAGACCACAGTAATTGGCACACAGAAATTGTGACACAGACTTACAGATCACAAATAGAACTGAGTTTCACTCCATGTGTAAGGTTTGTTTGCATCAAACAGGATACAAGCAAACTGAGTTGACACAAGAATCAACTGACATGAACAGAGAACTCTCTTTTATACCGTTTACTGATGATGACTAAACAGTGTCATAGCACATCCCATATTTCACCCATAGTTGACAAGGATCTTCTTGTCCGTCCTAATTGTAAAAAAAGTATTTACTACAAAATTACTACATCCCCTTATTGTACTGTACCTACCCGTGTTATTTCCTAGGCCTGATTTACAACTGCTGCGTGCTCTCCATAGAGTTACACTGTACCATAGT